TGAATTAAACTAATGTGAATTCACACAACAGCATGATAATGTGAAGTAAACTAATATGCATTAAAATTTTATTTCTACAGTAAGGCTATTATGACGTCATTTTAAATCACATAACCTTATGCAGAGCAGATCCACTTGACATAATGTTATAGTGTCTGTACACATTTATGGAAATTAACATTTTTTTCTTTGTTTTTTACTCTAAAACAGCAAAAGCACCTATATCTGACCACCATTATGTGGCATGTCACTTAATTTTGCCATTATCCATGTGTCAGAATTTAATTCGAATTAGTTTCACTTAGCGTTCACACGGAGCAAATGCAAAGTAATATGATGCGCAGGAAATTAAATCGAATTAAACTAATTCGCATTAAATTCTCATTGTGAATGCGCTTCAAATTTAATTTGCAGTAACTTACATTTAATTTGAATTAATCTCTCCTTGTGAACAGGGCATTAGTATCTCAGAATTTGATATCTCTAATATTTGGATATGTCAAAGTTAGTTGGAAGTACCTATTATCTTTCCTTTTAGTATTTTAACCGCAATATCTTGAATCCTCATATATTTTGTAAGTTTTTTATGGTCCTAGTAAGTTTGAGATGATAAGGTTTAAGTGTTTTTGAATGTGCTTGTTGATTCATCTAATGGATATTTCTTCTTTTGCAATTTTGTAGGAAAATATAACTCAAAAAACATAAATTTCTAGTATGAATTGTGCATAAAGATAGATACATTTTTTTTTTACTTAATTTAGAATAAATGATGAAGCATTGCAAAATATCTTCCCATGATTAAATGTGTAAAATTAAGTGAAAGTTGCCAGTATGAATGAGTATAGTATACATTTATCGATATGTAGGAAAACTTTAGAATAAAGAACAAGTATTGTATTTAGTTTAGCTGGACATTTGGTGGAGTGTGGTGCACAGGTTACAGGGGGGATTTTCACAGACTGGGAGAAAGTACCTGGTTGGTAAGTTCTTGTTGATTTACCTGTCTGTCTGGTCTGACTATCTGTTCAGCAGCTTTACTCAGATTTGTTTTTATAACACTTTAGCTTTGTTTCATCCATATAATATATTTCTGTGGGTTAGTGCCTTTTGTTTGGTTTAGATTTTTCATCTGTCCATCTGCCTGCTAAAAAAAATATGTGATGTGCCAGAGACTTCAAAAATTATGAAGTCAGCAGTTTATCGAAAGTATCCAAGTGGAAATGAAAGAAAGTTTTCTTATTTAATTTAAATGGTTCAAACTTTCACAGTAACTTCAACTAATTTTTTTTTCTTTTTTTTTTGTGATAGGGATCACATAGGATTTCCTATTGTGGAGTGTGCCTCCAGTGGAGAATTTATTGTCACAAAACCCAAGGGGACAGGGGGTCTTGTGACAAGGGCTACGGTCAGTGAACAGCTGCTGTATGAGATTGGGGACCCAGAACACTACATGTTACCTGATGTTTGTTGTGATTTTTCTCAGGTACAGCTGGAAGAAGTGGATGGTAAGACTTTGCTCAGTATTATAGCAGGGATACTAGCAGGATAGGCAACTCTCACAAGTCTCTTGATATCTTTTAAGAGAGGGGACTTTGTTATTTTAATTTCATTTTAATATATCTCTAATATTATCAAATATATTAGAATAAAATTTTTATTCATCGATCAAAAAAATTATTCAAAATTATTATTTGCACTATTTATACTCCTTTATATCTTAATTACCGGGTAGTATTGTGAAGTTTTATTTTTCAAAATCAAATCAACCGTTTTTTCCAAAATTTCTCTGAATTTACTTATGTTTATTTTATTTTACAATGTATGCTTTAAAATGCATTAAAAATCTATCTCCATAAATAATAAGAACCGATTGCATTTATTGAACACCAATCTTTTTTCTGCGAAAAACTTGTAAGGTTGTATTTGACATTTTGGCAAATAAACGGAGTTGCCATCCTGTTAGTATATATGTACCTGGTATGAGCATGTTATAATATTTTAAACATAGATATATGACAATAAAAGTACATGTTAATTTTTCCTGTTATAAAGAAGACCATTAACAATTTGATTTTCACAGCATCTGGGGATACAGCTGTGCATGTGTCTGGGGCCAAAGGTCACCCACCTACTGGTGAATTCAAGGTAAAGAAAAAACAATTCAATTTTTTAAATCACCTACATTGGAAATATGTATGAATAATTAATAAGCAAAAGACTAGACATCCTAAAAACGGAAAGTTTTTGAGATATAAAGTATTATTGTGAATTAAGTAATAAATGATAAAAGTGCTGTTCTAGTAGAGTTTCTATCTTGTGACAAAGTTGTAGTTTTTTAGTTTCATTTGTCCATTTATAGCCATTAGTATTTGAGTTTTGTGTTTTTCTTCTTCCTGAGGTATGTGCGGTGTACCCAGATGGTTTCCGCGCCACTGCAGCAGCTTGTGTTGGTGGTGTTAATGCAAAAGCAAAGGCTGAAAAGACTGCTCAGGAAATTCTTAAAAGGCCTGGTTTACTAAATAAGCAGCTCATAGATTTGTTTTTTAATCCTACTTTTTATTGTCAGGTGTCTGCTTTGTAGAGCAGATTTACAAAAAATCGTTTTGTCTGTCTGACGGTTTGGTTTTCCTAGTTATGTGTACATGTGTGAAGTATTAGTTAAATGTAAACTGTACATACTGTTATTTTTAAACTTAGCCATACAATAGCTTACCAACCTTTTTTATTTATTTTTACAGGTGTAGAAGGATATTTGCACAGCTTAATTTGGATGATTTTACCAATGTAAATTTAGAAGTCATTGGTTCAGAACACATGTATGGACCAAAGAGCAGAGTTCCTCAGGTTTTTATGTCATGATTTAACATCAATAATTATAATAAATATGAGAAGAAAAAACATAATAATGTGTTTTTTTTATTATGATATTTTTAACATGATAGGGTGTGAGGGATGCTCTTCTTTGGTTAGCAGTTCACCACAAAAACAAGAAAGCTTTAGAATTCTTTGCAAAAGAAATTGCTCCTGCTGGCACAGGAATGGGTATGTGCTTATTATATAGCTAAAATTAGATCTTAAAATTGATTGAAAACCTATCAATGACTGTACCCTCTGTTACAGCTCCAGGGCTAACCAACATCATTGGTGGACGACCAAGGGTGTAAGTACTTAAATACCAGTATGAAATTTTATATTATTGATGATCATGTAACATGATCTACTCTATGTATTTCAATTCAAGTAATTTAATGGTACATACATGCTGTATGCTTACATTTTTTAAGTGAAGCTGAGTCACACAAGTTTATTATGTTACATTTTATTATCTATGTTTATTAGTACTTTTTTTTTCTTCAGAAATCCAGTGTTGAAACTTTTTTCATTTCTCTATCCACGTAGCAATGTACAGGTAATTAAGACATGATTTATACATTTATGGCTATTTAACTCTTACTCTACTCCCTATGACATTATTTAGAGTACAATAAATTTGTAAATGAGGTACTCTCTAAAATTAAATGGGTTTTAACAAAGGAATGCAGTGAAATAAAATTTGATGTAATTTTTGAGCTACATAGGGATTATTCAGATTCTTCTTTCTAAGAGAAAACATTCATTAGATTGATTATTTCTTTTACGGTGGTTCCATTGTTAGATGATACTTTTTAATGAAATTGATGCTTAGTCAGATTAAGATTTGGTGGACGTTTTACATACTAGGTTGACATCCAATTGAATGGTGAGCATGTTGAGCAGTATCAGTTCCCAGACATCCCTATGTCAGAGTACATGACCCAGAATGTTACGCCACCATCTAAAACTGTAGAGGAGTCACTGCCAAAGGGAGATTACTCCTTCAGACTAGAGGAACTGGCCTATACAAGGAGTGGGGACAAGGGAAATAGTGCCAATATTGGTAAATCAAGACTGGTAATTTAAAAAAAAAAAGAAGTTAATGTCTGACAACATGTTCCTTAAATCATTTTTATGTCTCTTCGTAATATACCAAAAATATTAACTATAATGTAGTTTCATTATCTTGTGATTTCAAAACTGGTTTCTATATATCTAGAATAAAAATATACACAAACCAAAAATTTTGATAGCAATTTAAATGATTTCCAGATTTTAGAGGAAAAACAAATGCCTTTTAACATACAATTTTTTTGTGAAGAAACAGTTGTTAAAGTAGCAATACTTCAATCACAAATCTTAAAGGATTTTTTCTTTGCTTTGCACAAAAATCGAAGACGTTTAAAATTACACTTGGATTTCTTTCTTTTTTTTATCTATGCATTACAATGCATTACAATTTCTTTCTTTTAAGTACCGGGTACATGTTTTCCCCTTTGACCCAATATCCTTTATATTTTTACCTGTTATGCATGATAATAATGGGAACCTTTATTTCATGATTATTTAAGATTTGATTGAGTGTTACTTTAAATTTTTGCCTAGATACATTGCTAAGATTGATTGTCAGTTGTTTTGCCTCTATGATATCATCTCTGTGGTTCGTATTTTGTAGGTGTGATTGCCAGACATCCAGACATTTTACCCTACCTCAGACAAGCCATTACTCCCGAAACTGTGGAGCAATACTTTTCACATCTTTTTGAGAATGAAAAATTACCAACTCACCAAAAAGTACAGAGGTATTTCTAATTATAGTTAAGGAAAAAAAAATATATTTACTAATAGAAACTGTGTCTTTGCTCCTTGCAGTCAGTTACTTTTGCTATAGGAATATTTTGCTTTGTATAAAAAATTTTGTATTAGCTTTTTCTCGTGCAGAAACGATAAGATACAACATGTATTAATTTCCACTTGGAATAATTTAATGATTATTGACAGTTAATTATAATTCTTCAGAAATAAATAAAATTCAAGTAATGCAGACTTAGAAAACTTTTATTTAAAAGCACTTTCACAATTGGAATGTAATTGTTTAATAAGCACATTTAACTAAGCACAATAACTTCTGATTAAGATGAGAAGTAATAAAAATTTCACATGATCTCAGTATTAATTAAAATGAGCAAGCATAAAATGAATGTATAAATAACATACAAAATACACAACAATACTTCAAAGACAATCTTAAACATTTCTTTTGTCAGTCAGGGTAATGCAACAGTACTCCTACACAGTGAAATCACAGATCACAATAAAATATCCCACATCCACAGGAACACTGTATCTCAAAGCAATATAGACACAAAAGTCACACTAGCTTGTCCTGGAGAAGTTACAGTGGGCGACAGCCAGGGCATGCTGGTACTTGAGGGTCTGTTCCTCCTGAAAAGTGAAGTCCTCCTCAGGAATAACCAAGGGTGGGGGGACATTCCCAGGGTCCAGGGTCAGCATGATCTCCCGGGCCATGGTCTGTACCCGTATCCAGCTCCTAATGGAATACTGCTGGTAGAAGTATTTCACTGACTGGACCACAATCTTGCAGCCCATGTAATGTAGAGCTTGTCCTTTCTGGCCTAGGTTAATGGATCTGACTGCCTGGCGATGATGTCTCTGGATCAACCTCTCTGAAAATAAAAAAATATTACTTTTAATGTCTACAGTAAATACCTCTGCATTTGCATATATATAAAAAATGATAAAAATAACATATTATAACTTTAATTAATACAAGATAGAAGAAAAATAAATTTCATACTAGTCTTAGAATGGCAATTTTTAAAAAGCATACCAATTTTCTTGATAGAAGTTGAAACTTTCTTATATCTTCTAAAGAGAGTTCTGAATTTGTTCATTTTGATTGATATCCAGAGTGACATTCTGTTCAATCTTGATGTTTGGGACATACTAAACTAGATACTGTGGTATAAGAATATAACACTAACCCATTATCTCACGATACTCCAAATCAATGTCTCATAATTACCCAATTATCAAACACATTAATTGATGTGCAAGTTACTGTGCGTGTCACATTAAATTCCTAATTATGCCCCCAATTAATGTTAGATTGACTGAATGAATTGTTACCTTAAAATTTTCACTTCTTCAGTATGACTAGAAATATGTTTTTAAAGATAATGTGCATTTATGCATAATATATTATAAAATATATCTATCCCTTTTCCTTTTTTTTTGTATGCATAATAACATTAATAACTCCCTTGCTTTCCACATCAAGATGATGACCCAACTTACAAAGAATAAGATTTTTTTTATTGGAAATGAGTTCAATCAATTAAAGTACAATGTTTTTTTTTGTAAGAATTTGATAATATAGATTATTGTTAAAAAATTCTTGTATAGCTTGCAAGAAAAAAATTTACAGTTTGGATGATGTTATATGGATCCTAAATTTCATTTATTATATTTTGTATTATGTGTTTTTCATCAAAGAAATGTAGATTTAGATGAATTAGTAAATGAAATATTAAAGCATACCTAGCAATTTGATCTGTGTCCGGACTTTGTCATGGTTAATAAGAAGACTCTGGAGCTTCTGGGCACTAGATTTTGCCTCCATAATAATTCAAGTAGAGTAATGGTAGATCTGAAAGCTTAGTACAGTTGTAATGAAATGTAGGGGGGGGGGACACTTTATATATTTCAAGTAATTAGAAGTTACTCTAAGGGTCTCATATCAAAGTGTTGAGACATAAATAGTGCAATTAACCTGCTGAGATCAAAAGAGATCTATCCTGGGTAACTGGTTTTGAAGATACTGTTAGGTAATTAACAGCTTGATTGTTTAATTACAGAAACCACTGAGTTAATCATCTTAAATTGTTATAAGTGTGTTTGTTACAGGGGGGATGTGAAAAATGGTCAATTTACATTTCTTATGTTTCCTTTGATCTCTGTGTGCTTTATTTCCAAATTAAAGAAAATAATTAATTGTATATATATATATATATATATATATATATATATATAAAAAGCACTAAAAACCAACAACACTGTATATCCTAAGTGTCGGGTCTACTAAGTAGATACAAGGTCACAGATGGAAATTTATATAAAGCACTAAAAATGACCAGCGACACGAACAATAATAATTGTCAAATTTTCGGGACAACCTGTCCCTTCCTCAGGACAAAGAAAAAAGTTAAGAAGTCATAAAAACAAAGGAAATAGAGAAGCAAAAACAACTAGCACTACTACTAAACTACCAAACACTAAATATTTACAATGTTACATGTTTAATTTGGAGTTTATAAACAGTTGTGAACAAAGAAATCCGGAGCGCTATGAATTGCGTCCAGTCTATCGGGTATACGCTGGTGAAGTGTGATTTACATAATTGAACGAATTAATTATCGCTAATTAATTACGACCAACAGTAAATCGTACATTGTCTTATTCTCTCAAAATAGCGTAACTCTACATGATAAAAAGAAATTAAAGAAAGATAATATGGAGGGACAATTTTGAAATATGAATTTGGATATATTATAAATTTGGAAATCGGAAAAAAGAAATAAACAAAAATGTAAGCTGTAAATATTTGGGTAGGTTGTTCTAGGATTACTAATACGAATTAACGGTAAAGTTTACACTATATAGAGAGAATGAACTTGTTTGTTACAATCCGGGATTGGGTCTAGTTCACGTTCATCCTGGTGAAGTCATTAAGTTTGTTAATACCATTAGGGCGGAATGACTTCAGCCTGTGCATCCAGAACTTTTCCTTGCCTTTTCTCTGCGCGTCTGTCCATCTTGGATTATGGTCAGTAACCACTACTGTCATGTCCTCCCATTTATATATATATATATATATATATACACTTAATATGATTTACTAGTGTTTAAATAAAATAATGTTAGAGAAGAAAAATAATTTGTTGATGATAATGCACTGATTTTAAAACACAAGAGTTTTATGTTGTAGGTATGATGTTCCAGGTGTGTGGGGGCTAAATTTTGTTCTCCAGGATGTCCTAGGAGGAGGAGGCATAGCCTCTTTAAGGAGTGATCCTCAGGTAGAAAAAGATATCCCTAATATTGTCACTCATAATTCAACCTAGTACATATTTGCTTCTAACATCAGAATTCTTTGTACACAATTAATATACATGAGTGGGATTTTTCTTATGGATATCACACATCGTTTTGTTTCAGGGAAAAGCTATGGGACAGATGCTATTAGACTTTGAAATAAAAAATGTGCCAAACTTGGTAGAAAAGATTGAAGAGAAATATAGAAGATAGTAGCAATACTGAGTGAGGAGATATTGTTGATGTGAAGTGATGATGATTTGAAATGATGATATAATACTGATATGGAGGAATTGGGAACAATTGACATATATCTGTGGAGGGGACGTCTTCCATGTGGACTGTGATATTCTGATGACATATTGTAACTGATCAAGTGTTGATTGATTTTGCCTAGTATGGGTAAATCATTGTCATATCAAAAGCTGCTGCAGCAGTGCAGAATTTTAAATGCAATCTGTTAGAAGTCAGGATATTGATTAATCTATTAGGATGTTGATCAATCGATTTAAGACAGGGTGTTGATCAAATTTTATTTTTGTTAACGGTGATTATGATGCATATTATAATACTAAATTATAGTGAGTGTTTTGTATGGATAAAAAAATGTTCCTGATGTAGATGAGAGATATAAGTCTTTGCAGCAGATAATGTAAGGTCTCTGGAAATAAAATATTTTTTTAAGACCTCTTTGCTTTTCTACTGTATGTTGCTTCTAATATAATACAGTTGAAATATCACAAAAATATATTAATTAGTTTATACGGATGACTACTTAATGCAAAATTTGTCACAAAATTAATCTTTTAAAAAGAGCATTTTTCTTTTAATTGCAAGAATGGGCAACATCTAAATTTGCAACTTTAGGTAATTACATTAAATGAAAGTGTGTATTTGTGGAGTGTGAATCCGTTTTCTTTGGCAGGGTTCAACACCAACTCTCCATATAGTAATGGGTATGCCCACTTTTTTATTGACTAAATGCATACTTAGTACATGTTTGTCAGTTGTTCTCCATGTAATGGTAGTTTAAATTTTGCATAAATAAATTTGTGTTAAAAGGAGATCAACAGACAAATATGCACTCATGGTTTAAAGAGAGAAAATACTTTCTCTTTATTGTAATCAAGCATTGTGTCCTATTGAATATTATAATTCACCATATGATTTTTTACCTCAGGTAACTTTGTGAATACCGAATTCTGACACATGATATGTACAATAGCATGTTATGTTCTTTACCAGCTGAGCTACCCAACAATTGTTTTTGAACACATCAAATACTCAGGCACTGATTTACAATCATCTGTACGTACATGTATATGACCATGTTGTTAAAATCCTGAAAATACTAGTGTCATGTGAAAAGGTGAGAAAGAGATTCTTCATGCATGACATTGTTATGCTAGTCTAATTTTAGACCCGTTCTTTCAATTTTAGGTCTACCTGTCATGCATATTGAACAACCTAATCTTCAGTCTTGGGCAGATAAATGACGTAAATTCTTGATATTGGAAAGCAAATAAGGGTGAAAAAATGCTTATCTATTTTATTGTATAACAACCATTTTAACATTTAAATTCTGTTCCAAATTGACCAGATTCTTCAACAAATAAACAGAAGTGAAATTTTAAGTTAAGAAATAAAAATGACAGAACTACTCCAACACTCCAAAACCTTAAACCATTCAGTGCAGTCATCCTTTAACTCCCGGCTTTTATTTGTAATTTAATCTTTTTCTTCCTTCAGTAGTCTTTGTGCTGAAAGTAAGCTCCATACTTTTATAGGTTTAGTAAAACTTGATTATAGCTATTCCTTGAGACCTGCAAATTTACTTCGCTATATCTGCAATTATACTCCTGCTCCAAAAGAGGGGAGTATACTGTTTTACCCTTGTTTGTATGTCTGTAAAAATTTTTGTTGAAGTTTTCTCAGCAACTAGTCATCGAGATGCTTGAAATTTTAGTACACTCTTTATTTAGGCATGCTATATGGTGGGGTTTTTTTGTACGAATTTGATATGTCAACTTCCTGTTTATCTGTGTCCGTCCGTACCATACCTAACAAATTTTTGTTGCAGTTTTCTCAGCAACTACCGTACTCATCGTTGATGCTTGAAATTTTAGTATTCCAAATGGTGGGATTCATTTTTGTACAAATCCGATGTCAACTTCACGTTTCTCTGCATCTGTTCATGCCATACATGAAAAAAAATTTTTGTTGCAGTTTTCTCAGCAACTACTCATTGCATATGCTTGAAATTTTAAATTAGCACAATCTTTGTTTAGGCATGTCATATGGTGGGATTCATTTTTGTACGAATTTGTTGTCAACGTCCTGTTTATCTGAGTCTCTTGGTAATTGAACTTATGTATATTCACATCAGAGGGTATATTCACATCAGAGCGAAGTTATTTCTAGAATAAGTAAGCACTGGCTCACAGAATTCTGTTAGTTAAATCCATGTAAAAATTCGGTAAAGTGTATATAGCGAATTCTCAATATAGATTTTTTCCTTCAGCTTCTAAATGTAGTTTGGGAAGTATCAAATACAAAAGTGACCTTGGAGTTCAAGAGTTTTTGGATGAATTGAATTTCAAAAAAAAGTCAGTTTGATATTTTAAAGTTAAGTTCTTTGAAAATTTGCTATAAAAGATGTAAATTTCATTATTTTTAAATTCTAGGAGGCACATAATCAGTTTGCTATATCCTTAAATTTGCTATATTTGAGTTCATTATAGCCGTGAATATTACAAGCAGTTGTTTAGAATTTTGCTGGGGATTCTAGAAAAGTTAGCTTTATCCATAATTTCACATTATCCATGTTTTTACTAGACGAGTTTAATTGCATCACATAATAGGTCTTGAGAGTCACCTGAGTATCAAGAGTTTTCTCTGGTAATGACCAATTTAAGCCCACCATGGAGTTCCATGAATTTTAAAATTAGGTCCTAGTGCTATGTTCACAATTTTCACACACATCAAAATAGGAGGCAAAATGTTAATATTTTTGTGATTTTTGTAACTGGCTAGCTGTTCATTATAATCATCCAAAACAATTTGCCTGCTAGATGATGTCAATAAGAAGTTAGAATTGACAAACTTTGCCCCACTTGGTCATGACCAAGGACCCAGGAAATATAATTTGCCTGGAGCTTTGGGACAGGGCTAGCTGTTCAAGATAATTCTGCAAGTGGCTTGTCTCCTAGTTAGCTCACCTGAGCCAATGGCTCAAGTGAGCTTTTCTGATCACAATTTGTCCGGCGTCCATCTGTCTGTAAACTTTTCATATTTTCTGACTTCTTCACAAGAACCAATGGGCCAATTTCAACCAAACTTGCCACAAAGTAGCCTTAGGTAAAGGGGATTCAAGTTTGCATATTTTAGGTAAGAGGTTGTGCTCTATATGAAATACTGAAAAATATCTTAAAAGACTGATGGTTTTTGTAGAATTTTTCAGGATATGGAAAAAAAATGCAGTTCATGACATCATAACACAATAACTATCCAGAAAAGTATGTCATTTTTTTATAGATATGCAGTCACCGAGGGTCTAAATGATATTTGAATTCATGAATTGTCAGCTATAAAATTAAGCAGTTTCAGTTTTTCAGAAATTCACAGGGCCAAAATACTGAACTGATTTCTGCTTTTTCACAGCCTAAATGCTCAGTTGAGCGATATGGGCCTCTTGTTTGGTACTCCTTGTAGGATTAGTTGTTTGGATGTACAGATGAATTTTGAAAATTGCATAAACCGTGATTGTTTTGGCCCCACCCCTAAGACTCCAAGGGGGTGGGAGGGGAGTATGAGATTGTTGTTCCTGTTCATGCTCTATACCAGAATTGCTGAAATTCTTCAAAAGTTTACATATTTCATGACAGAAAGAACAAGTCGCAGTAGGTTACCTGAGTCATTTGGGAGACCTCAAAATGTAAATGGGCACAACAGTGAATGACCTTTTACTGTAAGTGACCCTAAATCTGTAATCATGATTAGAAAACAGTTAGAAGAGCTCTGATTCTTGTACTACAAAGACAAAATGATCACTCTGGGACACCACCAGATTAATAAAGGGCAGGCTTTAACAAAGAGACAAATTGCAGAAAGGTTAGGTCTGAAAATTATTGGTCCAGAAGTTCTGACTTTCTGAATAAAAACCCCTATAAAGGTATGTGTAGGGATGACAGTAAGTTTAACAAAAGTATATACATGTACAGGTATAGGAAAAATTTACCTCTCTAAAACACAAAATGACTTAAGCATCAATAGGCATTGTTGATTCAAGCTTATTGTGGTTCTCAGAACTTCTGGATGGGATGTCTAGTTTTCTTTCTGTTGCATAAGATTTACAAGTACCATCTCTCAAAAAAACAGTTTGTCTTATATACAATCACCCTAGAGTACATGTATATTCAAGTTCATTCAGTCATATCAAAAGTGGTGTGTGTGTCTCAATTGAAATTACTACAAACAGCAGTAAAATAAAAAACAAGAAAATTGCGGCATAATGCATTTAATAATAATGCATTTAATAACATCTGCTTTGCTTATATTAATATTACATATCCTCTAAGAAATAGTTTGTTAAGCAGCATCTGGTCTGGTGCCTATTTCTGGATATAAATCATCGAAATGCAGTCTTGTATTGTGAACACTTGTCTCCTTGTATTAAGAGTTAATTTGCTTCATGATGTATGGCACTGCAAAAAATAATAATAATACATGTAATAAAATAAATCAGTTTGAGAAAACGAAAATGTTAACCTACATGTTTAACTGTATTTAGATTATGTATTATAGTTGAATCCACACTTTGCAAATATTATGTCCCTTGTCTGCAGTCTTTAGGGGGAAAAAACCAATATAATTCTCACAGTAGCCTTTGTACCAGTAGTTTTCCTTTTTATCTTACCTGGTAATTTGCAATTTGACAGAAAAAATTGTTTGCATCTTGTTAACCGATTGCTCCAGGATGGGGATACCTATACCACAGGCACTTGTTTCGTATAAGGGGTCCCACCCTTTGTTTCCTTTCCACAACATACTTTAAAATGCCATCGTTTGCTTGGAGAGACTTTTTTCTTGTCAAAATAAATCGTTTACAAAACCTCCGGTTGGGATCATAAATGTAGGATAAAACCAGAGACCTTAAAATTGAGTACTCGGAAGTCTCTGGTTTCATCCTATATTTAAAACCCCAACCGGAAGTTTTGTATCTCAAGTCTTAAAATGTATTGAGGTAATTTTCGAGGAATAAATGAGTGGTTTACAATAGAGAGGCTTGACCAGAGACGTCTGAAAGGATTTATTCCACAAGAAAAAAAGTCTCTCAAAGTGAACAATTTCATTTTAAAGTAGTTTAATGATTGATATATTAACAAAATATGAGCTTGAAGCGGGGGTGCCTAAAATTGAGTTAGGTACCTTGTGGAAAGAAAAAGAAGGGTGACCCCATATACAAAACAAGTGCCTGTGACCTACACACTGAAATTGGCTGTACAACATGCATACTTCAGGTGCCTGTGTTTTCACCATCATTTCCGGAGTATATTATTGGTTATAACAATGTAACAGGAAAGGAGAAAATATAATGTAATGAGTTAAATCGGGTATAAATCATAAGAGCTTGGTTTCAGGATGGTGTATTTTTTGTATTGTGTGTTTTTCTATGTCTGTCTAAATACACTGATTATAATAAAATTCACTCAAATTAGCAGTTTTAAACAAATAGTATGTCAATGTTGACAATGTACATAAAAAAATACAAAGGTTGACACTCTCCATGTTGGATTCCAGAGAGGGGGGTGTTTCACAATTGATTTTAGTCATTAAAAACTCATTATCTACACTTTTCCTACCACTACACTTTTCCTACCAGTGTTGGATGAGATCTAGCTTCAAAAGTGATTGAAAAACTCCCTTCTATTGTATGAAATTTGCATTACTTATATAAACCATGCAGTGAACCTAAATATCCTTGATACCTAGCAATAAAATTGAAAGCAACAGAAGTAATGATTTTTAACTATGTAAAGTGTAGAGTGCTGACATCATGCACAAAGAAATTGAATGGCCAGGAGGTGACTTAATTCAGGTGATGCTTCAATTGTCAGTGATAGGGATATTTAAACGGCGATATCATCATATTAGTGATGATTAAGTTGTAGATAGAATGTTCTCTCATTAAAATGATAATGTCCTACGGACCAATTTTAATGATAGAATACATTCTTTGTATTGGCAATGTGGCAAGACAAATAAGGGAGATAACTTGAACTTGGTGCATATACTATGAACAATCAAGATTTCTGAATGTCAACATGGCATGTAAATTTGAAACAACTAAAAATGTTAAGAAAAAGTGTTGAATTCCTCCAATATATGCATTACTTTTTTGGGTAAAAGGTATCCACAATCTTGTTAATATGATTAATTTGATGGTTATTTTCAATGTAACCTCATTTATTTTCTCCAAAATTGTTTCGGAGTGAATCTGCAATTTTCTGCTACATTGCGGGTATATGGGAGGCATTCTTAACGTGGTGAGGGCCGATACCAAGACACAGTTAGATTATTCTAATTTTAAGCTGTAGAAGAATCATTCCTTTACTGAGTTCTTGCACCTCAAAAGTTAGATCCATGAAATAGAGTTGTAAAAGGTAGGCAGCGCAGCTAGTGTCGCTGAATTCCCACTTTTCAACATGGCCTCCACTCTGACTCTCCCCCACGCATGTCACAATATAAAAGTAGGGGTTAGAGTCAGAGGAATTTCCCCAGCACATATCACAGTACTAAATTGGGTGTAAGAGAAAATCTCGGATTAGTGTGAACAGAGGAACCCCCTTGAATCACAGGTACTTGGGTCTTGGTTTATAAATATGTATGTACTTTATTGATATGTAATAGCGAGCGCAGCGAGCGGCGCAAAGCGCCGCTCGTCACTGCGAGCTCTAACGACAACGCCTGGGCGAAGAGAAAATTCGGACTACTGCACATTCATTCAACAGAATTTTTTTCCGCAGTAATTCTGACCCACAATGCATCGCTTCTTGTTCTCGCTGCTAACTTCGTTCACGCGGTGACAACAACTAAAAATTCACACAAAATAAACTCACCTTAATTTAATGGATATTGCCTGCAGATAGTAGATTAAACGTTCTTTTTTAAAATATTTGCACTTTTTAAACTTTGTTTATGGAAATGCAGCTAACATACGACGTCATGTGACGTCACAGTCTAGACGTTCCAAATGTCTCGTGCGGTTTGAAGAGGCGGATCATAATAAAGAAGTGAACACTGCGCTCGCCCCAACGGTCGCACCGTCAACATATTAAAGTACTTTTTTTTTTACATATCAATAAGGTACATACATATTTATAAACCAAGACCCAAGTACCTGTGCCTTAAATCCAAGATTGCGAATGTCAACCCTTGTAATTTTTTATGTACATTGAAAATATGATTCTTTTTTTTTAATGCGAATTTCAGAGATTATCAATTTTTATCGTAATTAGTGAATTTAAACACACAAAATACACTATCCTGAAACGAACCCCTTAATATGATATAAATTGCATTTGATTAATGATACAATAAGCACTTACAAGATCGAATAACGGCACATGTTACAGCAAATATGCAAAAACTCTGTATACATCCCGTTCTAGCTATTTTCTTTTGTTCTTCTGGATCAACTTTTGAAGGTAATCGCAACATATTGTGAATTTGACCTGTAAGCGTGCAAACTCTGCAGTGTTAAACTAAAGCATTACTGTTGAAGCAAAAACTCCCTTCATGTAAAACGCTTTACTGATCAAGAGGAGTGACGACTAATTACAGGATAGAACTCTTAAACTTCCTAAACATCATTCATCCCTTTATCATGAAAACTCTTTAATTGAATGTATCAACTAAAGCAGATTAATAATCATCTACTTAATTTTTCTATGATAAAAATATGATTGGCAAAATGCATCAAATTAGGTGATATAAGTGAGGGGTGGAATGGCTATTTGTTGCAGTATCGTTTCAGACCAGGTCCTTTGGGCTCACTTCATCACATTCACGAAATACATCCCAGAATAACTTATTTTCTTCATAGCTATGTACAATATAATGATAATACTTATAATCAATTCTTTTATACAGTACATATAGTACATATATACAAGAAACAGCTGAAAGCTGTAGAGTGAACCCATGCTGGGATTCAGGATTTTGCGACAGATGATGGAAAGGGGTTTCTAGATATTCTGTGGTTATCAACAGGTGAAAGACAGTGTCCAGTTGGGAGCATGGGGCTAAACTCCCTTAAAACCAACCAAGAAAGTTGCTGACAAGCAAAAATAGTAAACTCCTATACCAGACGTGAAAAACCTATTTCAGAAGTGGGGGGGGGGGGGGGGGGGAGCCACTTGTACTTTCTTTGAAATACTTGGATGGTTTCTCCTAGCTACCAACTTAACAGGGGTCCACGTTTTCTAGGGGGGTGGGGGCTGTTCAGAGGTCATTTTTTAGCTACTTAATATTTACATTTAATAACTCCACATATTTCAAAAGGGGAGGTTCAGAAATTTTCAATATATGAATTTTAATATGAATATGGTGAAAAAAACCACAAATTTTTTACTCAACCTTTTTTGTTGGGGGGGGTGGGGGGGGGGGGGTTGGACTTAAATTAGATCTTTAGTTCCAAAAGGTTATAAACATACTGCATTCTCATAAAACATTCATATAACCATTGAGTTTTCTACCCCCCAAAATAAAAACAAGACAAAGAAACCAACAAGTTTCTGATAAAATTTTAGCTAGCTGTACTGGTTTTGTACTTACAATAAAATCAAAATCTGATACTGGAATCATGTATCGTGGTATATATATAAGTCCGTCAATTTTTATTGACTGTACGCGGAAAAAAAAGGCAATAACTATAATTAAGTATCTTGACATAATCAACTTGTGTACATGTACTAAGTTTCAATGAAATCACACCAAACACACAGGAGGAGTAACATTTTTCAAAATTGTTTACAAACAACAGATCCTTTTAAAATTAACTACTGCATAAGTTTGAACAGTAGACCTAATCATAGGTAATTGAAGATTATGAAGCTCATATTAACAATTGTTATCCAGTCAGGTTAAAATTTCACACCAGTGACCACATGAATGTTTTAGAAGTATGCAACGTACATTCAAGTTTGGTCCAAGTAGGATTTATAGTATCTTGAGAATGGATCCCAAACTTAAATCACCTGCAATATGTAGGTCAGATGCAGCATCCCAAGAATGTCTGATAGTGTCCATCCCTTGATACATCCAAGCCCGTTAGAATGAGTGTGCATTGGTCGCAACCCCCCCCCCCCCCCCAAAAAAAAAAAATTGAATATTGGAACAAAATTAATTCATTATTCATCTATTAAAGTAATGCTGCTAGATTTTGTTTATTTCATTTATGAAAAAAAAGAATTACTTCAATCCCTTGCAACTTTTCTCAAGATAGGGTTTATTATGTAGTTACTTGAAAATGGACCTCCTATTTAAACAAACTTCAACTTGTTCAATCATCCAAAATAAATGAAAGTCAGATATTTGTATATACAAAGCATGTCTGGTAATCTGCATCCCTTGATGTACCATCCATGCAAGTTTAGTCACAATAGGATTTGTAGTTACTTGGTAATGTACCTGCTCCAAAAACTCTGACCTGGCCACTCAGGCAGAAAATAAAGGTTAGATCAAGTGTCTGAAGAAATTGTAAAGTACATCTCTAGATGCATCATCCTTGCTAGTTTTGTCCAGATAAAGCATACAGTTACTTGGGAATGGACCTGCTCCTAAAAATTTAACCTGGATGCCAAGTCAGTGGAAAAACAGTATTTCATTTCAACTTTGCTAAGCTAAAAATACCGGTAATGCACCTATACAACAGAATATAATAGGCAGCCTTTGACTCCAGTGGCTTAAAAATACAATGCAAAGAGTCTCTCAAATGGAAGAAACATTTATTAACATTCTCATCCATATTAATACTAAATTCAAAGTAAATGAGATCAAAATATGTGTACCCACAAAAATATCATGATGGTTCAGTTTGAAAGCTGCTGGTATGTACTCAAGCAATTTCTGTTTTTTCTCTTTGTCTTGTGAATCAGAAATATGAGATTCTCAACATCCAAATAATGTATTATATACATTTTACCTTATTACATTACAATGGCAGATTGGAGGATATGTTACATTTGTATGAAAATAACGAAAAAAAATAATTCTTCATTCACAAACCTTGTAAAAATACGAACAGATGAAAAACTATTCCTGCATGAACTAGAACTGTCCAAAAGGGACAAATACCCCCCGCTGGGTTTTTCAGAGAAGGTACCAAACCACTAATGTTTTCTAGATGTGAGAGGTGTTCACAATTTGCTTAAACATTTAGAGTGAAAATTTAATTACTCATTATATTTTTTTTAATGAATGAAACAAGGTGCAGCCTAATAAAACATCAATACTTAAATAATTACAGTGTTTTTTATGACATTGAAAAAATAGTTTGCAATTATCTGTCATCTTTGTGAGACATGACACTCTGCAAATTGGTTGTTGAAAAAAAAATATCATAATTAATTATACAAAATCAAATTGATCTTAATACCTTTATATCAAACTCATTTTAAAAATAAAAGGTTGGTTCCAGTAATATGTATTTTGACAGACATAAATTACAATTAAGAGACTTAGACAACAGAGATCTTTATTTCTTTCTGCCCAATTCCCAGGAGATATAGATAAGACCTGCTTGATCAGAGATGCCCTAACAGCTTCCCACACTGAACTCATTAATTAATCTTTAACTGGATGCATGTCCACTCATTACTCCCAAGGGACAAATGGATTTACACTATCTGCTGTGTAATGTAAAAACTGTTTTTAATACTTTATAAAATTTTAATGAGTAGTTTTAAGCTGTAGTCCACATTTTTGTACAGATGTTCTAGATTCTATGTCTCAAACCTTAGACATGAACCCGAAATGACTAAGTCAATAAAAATGGAGAAAAAAAAACACCTGTAAAATGCAGAAAAATTATCAAATAATGTTGAAAATACCAGGTGCACATCTTCATATGGTAAATAATAAGTGTACAAATTTTCATACAAATCTATGCAATAGTCTCTGGGAACAGATCCGGACAAAACCACATAATAAAAATGAAAAAAACACCTGTAAAATGCAAAAAAATTATCCAATCATGATGAAAATACCAGGTGCACACCTTCAAATGGCAAAGAATAAGTGTACAAATTTTCAGACAAATCCTTGCAACAGTTTCCAAGAAATGGTCCGGACAAAATCTCGTCTACAGACAGACGGACAGACAGACAGACGGATAGACAGACGGACAAGCTGATTCCAATATACCCCCCCTAAACTTCGTTTGCGGGGGGTATAAAAATAAAATGTATTAACAACAAATACTACATGTATACAAGTAAACATGTAAATCAGGGATGGGGTAATTGGAATAAGAAATCTTAATTAACTGTAATCATTTACAATTTGCTGTGAAATCAATGAGCAATGGACAGACTTCTTGACTTGTCTTTGAAAAACACATTTAGGCCTTAGGAGTTAAATTATATAGTTTATATGTAATTCCTGTTTCTTTCTTTTTTTTTAACATTTCTATCAGAACCAAAACTTATTCATATTTTGTATTAAAAAATGCAAAAATAAACAGTAGATTAATATTCATGTATATCACCTTTGTCCTTTAAATTCAACCCAATGTTCTCAATTAGTACATGACGAGGCGGTGCTAATAATCATGTACAATGTAGAATGAAGCTAATGAGCAGTGAACATCAGAAGCATAATTAATATTGCAGCACTCATTTAATTTCTGATTTTAGCACTTACTTTTTCACATTATTTCCACAAGTAACGAAACGAAAAACCATTACAAATACATGTATGCATCTATATACATGTATAAGAAGATACATCTTTACTTGGAAGAAAAACGGGGCATAAAAAATATTAACATCTTAAAGAGTCGGGGGAAGAAGGGAGATCTGGCCAAATCCATGAAGATTGTTGACATCACATTGGCACATGAGTGAACAAATATGAGACAGATTCACCATTGTGAGTTCGTCGAATGGATTCTGCCAGCATGGTAGATATATCAATGCACTGAAAAACAGAAAATACAATTAAGCCAGTAGAATTAATCTAAATGCAGAGAAAATACAATTAAAACCTAGTAAAATTAATCTAAATCATAAAGTGAATTCCTTAAATTCAGCATTTTTTAAATTCTTTTGTATCTTACAAATTTTATGAGGTACCTAAATGTCTGAGAACCGGTACAAAATGAAGTAAAGTTAAGTATTTCTCATTGTTGTATATAAAATAACCAAAATGTATACAGTAGTATGTGTTAATATTTCTGTAAAAAAAAAAAAAGGTTGATAGATTTGAATAATGTCATGGTAAAACCTTCACATCTTTTTATTCTAAAGACTAATAAGGTGACCTTATCTATCCTGCAATATGTATCAAAGTATCAATTAAAAACATCAATAAAATAACACAAAAACAGCATCTGAAATGAAAACCAAGATCTTTAACACATCTACACATATATATTACACATTTTATATTCAACACTTTAATATTTAAAGCTTTTGAGTTGCATTAGGTTAACTTTTTACAACATAGAGTCCCATGGGCCAAATCACTCACCTTGCTA